TTTCTCAAAAAGTTGGAAACGGAAAATACAATTTGATCCAGTAAATCCACTACTGGAAATATACCCTAAAGAAACCAGAGCCACAACTCAAACAGATGTTTGAGCAAGCCCATGTTTATTGCTGCGTTATTCACAATAGCAAAGAGATGGAAAAAACCCAACTGCCCATCAACAAATGAATGGATAGAAAAACTATGGTAGTCTTTCTACGAAGATGGCACCGAAAGCGAAGAAGGAAGCCCTTGCCCCTCCCAAAACTGAAGCCAAAGCAAAGGCATTGAAGGCCAAGAAGGCAGTCCTGAAGAGCGTCCACAGCCAAAAAAAAAAAAAGAAGAAAAGAAGATCTGCACGTCTCCGGCGGCCTAAGACGCTGAGACTCCGACGGCAGCCCAAATACCCCCGGAAGAGTGCTCCCAGGAGAAACAAGCTTGACCACTATGCCATCATCAAATTTCCCCTGACCACTGAGTCAGCTATGAAGAAGATAGAAGATAACAACACACTTGAGTTCATTGTGGATGTCAAGGCCAACAAGCACCAAATTAAACAAGCTGTAAAGAAGCTCTATGACATTGATGTGGCTAAGGTCAACACTTCGATTAAACCTGATGGAGAGAAGAAGGCCTGTGTTCGACTTGCTCCTGATTATGATGCTTTGGATGTTGCCAACAAAATTGGGATCATCTAAACTGAGTCCAGCGGGCTAATTCTAAATGTAATAAATTTTTCTCACCATAAAAAAAAACAAACTATGGTATAGTCACACAGTGAAATATTATACAGCACTGAAAAACAATTAACTCATAAAACACTACACAACATGGGAGAATCTGGAGGACATTATGTTGGGTGAAATATCTCAGTCACAAAAGGATAAATGCTGCATAACACTTGTATTATAAAATAGGACAGACATAGGGGGTTGAAAGAGAATAGGAAGAGTGGACAGATAATGAACACTGCAATAGAACAGATGGAGGAGAAGAACTATCCAAAAGGAATATATGATTAGGCATTATATGTATGACAACAATCTGGAACATGGGGTGCATTGTGGGGTAGGCTTAGGGAAGAGAAAGCAGAGGAGGGAAGAAAATGTGTAACAATTAATGGGGGGAAAAAATCAAGCAATCCAACAGCAGGAGATATTTCCCACCAGCAAAGAAGCAGCAGCAAGAATGTAGCGCTTTCTTTGGGCCCAGAAAGTCTTGCTCTAGCTACACCTACCACTGCATCAGCCATAGCTGAAGCGACAACCAAGATGAGATGGAGCTACCTTGACACTACTAGCCCCTATGGACAGAACCAGAGCTAAGCTAAGAGCCTCTGACCAAGTTCGTTGGACAACTGAAGGGAAGCCAATATTGTTAAGACTAAGAACTCTGTAACACTCCCCTTAACCCACAAGGCTCAAGGCTGAGGTGCCTGTGGGCACTTTCAGCAAGCTATCCTGACTGAATTCTGCTATTCAACTTAATTATAACCTTATAACTTCCCCAATAGGGTTCTATGTGGTCTGTGCGCTATCATATCAGATTCTGGACGCAGTAAAGCAGTAAACTGGTGTTGAGATAAGCAGAAGGAGGTACAGGAGAGTGGGAGAAATGTCTGACCTCACACGAACTGGTTTTGTATTGCTGATATTGTTGGTAGGGACAGTTCCTCTTTGTGAAGCTAGTAAAGGTCAGATATGGCCATCCCCACATACCCCTTGGTCTTTTTACAAGACTAGACCACGAGAGCTCTCTGGTTTACAGTCAAAAGAACAAACAATTATGTCTTGGAGAAAGTGTAGCCAGAGTGCTCCTTAGAGCCTCAAATACTCTGGGCATGTTCTTAGGAGAGGCTGTTCCCTGGAGAAGGATATCATGCTTAAAAAGGTCAGCAAAAGAGAGGAAGACCCTCAATGAGGTGGACTGACACAGTGACTGCGGCAATGGACTCAAGTGTATGTGAACTAATGAAGATGGTACAGGATAGGATTTAGATCTGTTGTTCATAGTGTCACTAAGAGTCATACTGGACTCAATGGCACCCATCAACAATTTCCTACTGAGAGTTCATTTCCTACACTCTCTCTTCCATCTACTTCTGCTGAGAGGTGTTACCAAAGCCAAAGCGATCTCCCAATTTATAGTAAAATAATGAAATCAGATGAAAGATGAGGAAACCACAAAGAAAAATGAATGATGTGTACTAACAATAAATAATACTGGAGAACACTGCTAAAATATCCTGCTAAATTAACTCACAGTATATAAATTTATTTTTTTTTCAAACATGTAGAAAAGAACAATTCCTTTTTAGCCAGGCTACTCAATATGTTTTTATAATTTAGTTCCAGAGTAGAATCTATTTACCAAGCAGAAACTGCTATAAGGAAGAACCCCAGTGCCACATACAAATCATTGCTATTTTTATAAACAGAGCCTTTTATGTTTTCAGCTCAAATTCATCTCTATCATAAAAGACTTCACTGACTCTCCCTAGCTGACTCAGGTGCTTTTCTCATATCCTACTGAACTTGCACTCGAATACTGTGTATTTTAATGAGCTATATATTAGATTGTGGCTCTCCACTAAATTGCAAATAAAGATCCTGTTTTACTCATCTTTTAACTGCCAGTGCATGACACACAGTTTGTTATACGCCTGGGAGCAGATTTTGACACATAGCAATCTTATACAACAGAGAGGAACTGCCCCATAGCATTTCCTAGGCTGTAATCATTTTATAGGAGCAGATTACCACATTTTGTCTCCTTCCAACAGAGCAGCTGGTACTGCCATTCTCAGACGCTGAGAGCTTACCCACTGACCCACCAGAGTGCCTTTGGTACACAGTGGACCCCATAATTATTTGTTAAATGATGGATTTCACCTTCTATTTCACTAGTTAAGGCTGTTAAGAAACAGCTGAGGCACTTGTAGAAATTCATACACAGTTAAGGTCTGCCAGACCAGACCTCTATTCTTTTTGATGTTTAAAGGAATTACTGTTAGTCCTTCTCAGATTCACTTTCTTAAACATACAAAGAAAGAAGTCATATCCACATAGAATTTCCAGACATTTTTTCTAGGTGAACAAAATAAGTAATACCTTCACAGGGTAAGAGTGCTAGTGATTACATAGAAAGTTGACTTGTAGGTCAACTATGTGACCTTTAGGTCAACACAAGAATTTCTAGCAAAGCCGTATACTATCTAAAAGTTCCAGTGAGCACTCTGGTGGCTTTCTGGGTAACAAGTTATGCTGCCAATCCTAAAGGCAGCAGGTAGTTCAAATCCAGCAGATACTCCATGGGAGAAGATGAGCAATCTCCTCCTCTACGAGAGTCACCTATGAGTTGGTCTGACTTGACATCAACTGAGTCTGAAAGTCCATAAAACAATGAGGGAAGAAAAGCTAAAAAGCAAAACTGTCTTACATCAAAATGTTAAATTGTTTTCATTTCTGTCAAAAACTTTGCTCTCTCAATGAGTCTTGACATATTTAACACAAATTAGGTTCCCTCAAAAGAGAGACCATAACTAAAAAAATCATATTAATAACTTCAACCCAGGACTTTTCCTTTTTAAGGTGCAGTCACATATATTTCATGTGATCAAAAGGGTTATAACGCTGGTTAAAGAGACTTAGAGTTAAAAGGGACTGTGGAAGTCATTTATGCAACCACCTCACCTACTAACTAATATCCAAGCAGCTCTCTAGTAACTGGGGGTGAGGGTGTACAATGTTCTTTCAAAATTCCTTACCTAAGAGCAAGTACCACTGAAACAACAAGTTGTCCAAGCAACCATGCTCTGACCACCTGTCACTTTCTCCTGTCACAACACTTCCCCTGCACCAATCCAAATCAGGTATGCTAGCTTCTCCAAACCATCCCACTACCAAGCAAGTCTTTACTTCTCAAGTCCTCTTTTACTCCTAAATCCTTTCATTCCCTTTCTCTGAGATTTAGTCCCAAACTTCAATCCAAATACACATCCAGGGGCTGCTAAACTTCTCAGATTTCACAAGTTTCACTGATAACAAACCTCTTTCACATCTTCCTCTATACTAGTTCTTTCCATTTAGTATCATATTTAAGAGTATGAACACTCCAAGTTATGAATGCCCTTTTGGCCTCAGAACCTTCACCGTTTATTTTCTCTATTTCTCAAGGACATCTCTTCATTCCCTATAAATTCAATGTTTCCTTCCTCTTCAATATTTCCTTCTCTTCATGAACACTCCTAATTCAATTCAATAATAAATGTGTATTAGGTAGGAAAAGGGAACATATACTCACAAGAGTTCACGCTTACAAGTCTTGAGGAAATATAAGAGAAACAGAAAAAACTGTTTATCCTTTCTCTGGGAAGCCTCCCATCGCCCAAACAGAACTGGTCGCCCTCCTCAGTACCACCAATGATCCAATGATTAGTCTTCTATCTCAAATCAGCTAACTAACTGCTCTTCCAAGTCTCCCTGTATCCATATCATCTAGCTCAAGAGCAAAGGTTACGCGAGAATGTTTTAATGCAGGTATAAAATCATTCATTCATTGAAAACACTTTCAATACTCACAACACAAAATCCTAAAATAATTAAAAGATATAATACTAGTGATTAGCATTCTATGTCCCCATCCTTTACCCCAAGTCTGGAAAGTATCCCCACCCACAGTGAAACCTGTCTTTCCAGCCCCTCCCTCCAACTCTTCAGGTATCTCCCAGAATCACAGCTAATAATATCCAAACCGTAAATCCTCACCCTTCCAAGCTCTCGCTCATCTTCTATCTCCACCCTGAGATTACGGAATTTCTTCTATTCGCGTGACTGTCTACGAGATCCCCACGTCTGGGGTCTCTAATTTCCTTGTCCACGTCCCCAACCTCCAGTCAGCGACTTCTCTTTCAGGGCCCCGTCTCTCCTAAACTCCCTGTCTCAATACCTCAGCTTTCCTCCTTTCAGTTCCAGGCTTTTTTTCCTTGACTAGTCTCTCAACTCTCCTTACCTCATCCAGCTCCACTTCCCCAGCAGCACCTCCTCCAACCTCCACCTCCACCACTGCCGCCATCTTTACCCCTCGCCCCCTCCCCTTAGTCCCAGCGCGAGCCAGCTGCTTCCGCCGATCATGTACTCTTAGCCAATCTACAGCGCGAGCTCCAACAGAGGGGGCGGGGCATCAAGATGGCAAAGATCTGTCAGGGACTAAGACCATCTTCTCACTACTCACTACAGGGTCAAAGAGAGAACCTACCCATGTTCTTTTCGCTTTCACAAGGGTAAAAATCTTGGAAAATAAGAAATTTGGAGCGTGTTCTTTTAGGTGCAAAATTATTTTACCAGTTCCCTCTTTAAAAAGCCAAAAGGGGAGGTTCGCTAAATGGATAACTTTTGAGACGCTCCCTCACTCAGGACTCCAAGGAGCGAGGTGTGCCTACCGAACACTACAATTCCCAGGATGCATCGAACACAACCCGGATGTTTCAATTTCTCTCTCCTGGGCGGTGCGTGGAAGAATAAGCATACACTTATGTTTTTTATCCCCTCTAAAACTTTCCGTGCTGCTTTGACCAAAGAAATTCTTCAAAAATAGCAGCTTCTTGAGACCCTGAGTTCTCGTGCTTTGGAAGGCGGAAAAGACTCAAGGTCAAAAGGCGCAGGTCAGAAGATTGAAATACGCGGGAAAATGAGTTTGTAGACAAGCTCTGAGACAGCGGTGGCTCCTTCCAGGTTCATTGTTTCTGGTGAGGGGGCGTTGGGGTTATTGAAGAATTGGGAAATAGCTGATGCTCACTAAGTAAGATAGCTATGCGGAGGGTGGACAGAGTTGACTTTTCCGAGGAGCACTTTTAGGCTTCCAGAAGCTGAGCGCCCAAGAACCCTGCGGGATTTCCACGACTTCCATTTTGTACTCTTAAAATTCTGGCGCCTCAGGATCTAGTTCACCTATCTCGGTAGTCTTTCTCAGTCTACATCCTACACCTCAATCTTCTATTCTTACTCTCTTACCTTATTTAATCACTGTGTTTTATCCCTCAGCAGTCAGTTATTTGCACCATCTTTCCCTCTCGGGGCAGCTTTGTGTTCGAACCGCCTAAATTTTATTTGGAAGCGCAATAAAATAAGCACAATAAAATTTGCGCTTACCCACTTGACTGTCAGAGCTTTCTTGTTTATGTTTGTTGTTGTTGTGTACTGTCCCGTATCTGACACACCAGTAGGTTTTCAATCACGGGATGAGATAGCCCATCGTTGTCCTGCGGAGCAGCTGTTGGATTCAAACCGCATGCCTTGCGGTTGGCAGCGCCAGCTCCTTATCACTAAACCACCACTGCTCTGTTGTTTATGTATTTTGGTTGTCGTATACTGACATCTAGTTCATTCCTTTTAACTATGTAGAATTCCATTAGATGATATCTAACATTTATTTCTTTTATCGGGGAGCTCTGGTGGCCTAGTGGCAAGAAGCTGCACTGCAGTCCCAAAGGTACGCGGTTCAAGTCCACCAGATGCTCTGCCGGGGAAGGAGGGACAATCTCCTCCTGTACCAGTCAGATCTGATTTGACGGTACACAC